ACGCCAATGTCTGTCTCAAGTCTGTGGGACCGGACTACATGGTTTGTGCTGCCGTGAGGACGCCTCAACGCAAGGAGGAGGGGCTTGCCTTGAGGCTTGGTGATTTCGAGCTGGTGCGCTTGGAGGAGCTGGTTGCTTTTGCAGAGGCAGCACCCTGATGAGCGTTTCTCTCCTTGTGGCTATTTTCGGGTCGCAGTACTTGCTGGACTGGGTGGGCTGCTGCTCAGGCTGGCTGATGCCTGAGGGGGATGGCTTCGCCAGGGCAGGCCACAAACGATCGCGTAGCACAATGACAACAAGCACAGAAGCACCAGGCGAGTTCGCCCCTGGCAACCGCGCACTTTCCATATAACCACGTCCACGTTTTGCCCTATTGTCACTCCTCCTCCATTAGCCCAGTGGTTGAGCAAACAAGTTACAACCAGATGGGCACTGGTTCGAATCTCACACCCAACTTAAATTTCCTGGAGAAACCGCGGGCCTCGTGGCGGTTTCCGTACCCAGGGTCCATCACCTCTCGCCCATCGGCCCCCTGACGCAGGGAGCGGATGGGCCGGGGGGGACCGGCCCTGGCGAGCGTTTTGCGGGTGCTTTCCTTCGACGCACTCCCTTAATTATCATGCATGCGCTCCAGGGTGCACTCCCATCATATATGCTAGTTTAAAAAGGGCACAGAGAGTTTGTATGGCATTCATGATGGGACTCTTCTCATCAAAATGACAGGCACAACGCTCACAGGTTCTTGCTGAAGAACTCTACAACCGTCTTGTAGCCCCTGGCATACTCCTCCTTGACGCGCTCATCCTCGAGGTCGGCGCGGGCGGCCATCCAGCCGTGAATCTGGTCCTTGAAGGTCTCGACGTGCTTGGTCACCTGCAGGGCCTCCGCAAACTTGCCGACGGCCTCGTCGGGCTCCTCCTTGGAGGCGAGCAGGATGAAGGGCACCTTGACGCCCTTGGCGTCCTCGGGGTCGACCATGGCGGGGTGGATGGAGGCGGCTGCCTTGAAGGGGTTCTCGTCTCCCGAGGTGACGAGCGTCGCGACCTTGCCACCCCAGCAGTACTGCGCGTCGTCGTCGTTAGCATTGCCACGAGAAAAAAAAGTCCAGGCAAAGGGGGGTCGAGCAGGGGCAACACGCACGCCAATGATGGCCCAGTCGGTGATCTCGGGGTACTTGTCCCTGGCGGCCCGGACGTAGCCCGGCACGAGGCCGGCAATCTTGGGCGGCGGGTACTGGCCGAAGAAGGCGCCGAGGTTCTTCTGCTTCTCCTCCGTGTCGGGGGGGTACCACTCGATGGGGCAGGGGTTGCCGCCGAACCAGTCGGGGATGAGGACGCGGTGCTTCTGGTCGCCGCTCGTCGCGAGAATGTCGGCGCCCTGCAGGGACTGGGGGAAGTAGCCAAAGATGTCGTAGATGAAGAGGATGCCCTTCTTGGCGTCGGAGGGCCCTGTGGCGTCTGTGGAGCAGGGTCAGCGGGGGATGGCCGGCAGAGGACGGCCGGCGGAGGACGGCAGGTCACGTACACGTCTTGATGTCGTTGACCTGTTCGTAGGAGCCCTTGGCATCGTAGCCCTTGGAGATGACGGGCGGGATGTTGCAGCAGGCCTCATTGTGGCCGTGCTGCGCAGGCATTGTCGTCATGATGGCGGTGGTGGTCGACGTCTGGAGCTTGGGGGTGCTGGGTGTATATAGAGCGGATGCCGATTTATTTTTCTCCTTCTTGATCGTAGGTGCAATCAGGTGGAGAGCGGCTGCAAGTGAAGATGAGATGAAGAAGAGAAGAAAAGAAGTCCCATTGTCTGGCAACTGCCGGGTTGATCGTGTCGTCACCGCGACCCCTCAGTGTCAGAGGGGGTCTAGTGCGGGGGAAGCTCTGGGCCCCGCCTCGCTGTTGGGCAGCCCTGGCAGCGTACTTGCGTACCTACCAGGTACCTATCTAGGCACCTAGCAAGCTATGCCGTGGGTAGGTACCTACGGATAGACCGGGCAAGGGACCTTATGAATATCCAAATAGAGTTTCTCTGGCCAGACTCAGACAGATGGCCGTATCAGAATATCGATCTCCGTGTCTTTCTGTCACATCTCTGGCCAACGATGCCACGGACAATGGGTTCGAGGCTCTCGTCTTGTGGGCTGCCAGGGACATGCCCGTTGTTGTGCCCTGTGTGCCCTGTGTGCCCTGTGTGCCCTGTGTGCCCTGTGTGCCCTGTGTGCCCTGTGTGCCCTGTGTGCCCTGTGTTCCCTGTTGTCCCCCCTAACGGCCCGCTAAGAGGTCTTGCCTTGGTGCCTTGGTGCCCCGAACGCCAGCAGCCCCACCAGAGCTCGACTAGGTATCATCCCAAGTCATCAACCCCTCCGGATCCTGCTTCCAACAGTACCCTGCCCTCCCAGTAAACACTACAGCATCCAAGCCCAAGACAAAAGACTCCATCAAACGTCAGTCATCAAATATCGTACCCCGTCCGCCGCATATCCGCCACGGCCTTGTTCACGACCATGCCGTCCGTCGGGAACGCCAATTGCGCCGCCGCCTCGTCGACCTTGCACCAAACGTTCTCGAACAGCCCCGCGTCCTCGCCCATGAGCGGCTCAGGCAGAGCGCTCTCGTCGGCCGAGGCAGCGTAGTAGAAGACCATCTTCAACGCCCCCGTCGCCGCGTCGGCCCAATGGCAGCACGCCACCGCTTCGTAATGGTCGACCCCCTCTGTCAGCCCTTGCCGGACGGGCCCCTCAGCATCTGACTCGACGGCCTGCAAATCGACATGTGCGCCGCGTGCCCGCCGCTGCATCGCCTGCATCGCTTGCATGTGCTGCGCCTCGTGCATCTCCTGAAGCTCCTGCTGCTGCTGCTGCTGCTCCTGCTGCTGCTCCTGCTGCTGCTGCTGCCCCTCGAGCGCCCCCTCCCCGGGCGTCGCCCTCGTGCCGCACCGCACCGCCAGCGGCGTCACCCGGACACCCGTCTCCTCGAGCGTCTCCCGCACCGCGCACGCCAGCAGCGACTCCTCGCCCATGTTCTTGCGCCCTTTGGGCAGCTGGAAGAGGCCCTGCCGCTTGTTGTACACGAGCAGCACCCGCCGCGTCCTGAGGTCCACCGTCACCGTGCCCGCCCCGACCGTGAACCCGTGCGACGGCAAGAACACACGTGGCTGCCGGAGCGCTGCCTCGCCCAGCGCCGTCGGCTGGTGCTGCCGCGCTGTCCTCGTTGGGCCTCCTTCTCCCGCTGCTGCTGCCGCCGCCGCTGCTGCTGTTGCTGGCCATGGCGAGCCGCTAGGTGACGGCGAGGTTTGGGGGGTCGGTGGCCGCCGGCCGTGCTGGTGGTCATGGTCGCAGCCAAACATGCTCGGCATACCAAGACGATGAACGGGGACGATGGCGGCAGGATAACTGGTTCGTTGGCTGGGGCGCCAGACTCGGGGTTCATTGGGTGTGGCCGATGCTCCAGGTCGACGACACGGCGGTTTCGCTTGGCGTCGCCTGATCGAGCCTTCTCTAATAAGAATACAAAGCCAGAGAAAAGTAAAAGGAGGAGGAAACCTAAAGTTGAGAAGGCAATTCAAGTCCAAGGCGAGCCTTTTAAAAAAAGGGACAGAGGCTGCTGCCCTGAGCAGATTTGTGAACAAGAACCGCCCCTTGCCGCCTTACCACCCCCCTTGAGGTGGACTGATATATCACTTCTCAAAGATGCTAGACTCTTGTTTCTAGGCTTGCCTGCCATTCTCCTCCCCTAGTCCGACCCCTCGCTAGCGCCTTCTTTTCCTGTCTCCTCTCCTCTATCTTGGTCTCGATTGTTGCCTTTGTCCCGATCTGGACCGCATTATCCGGACTTGACCGACAAGGTTTCATGGCCAACAAGCCAAGTCGTACGCTGTCCTGCTCACGCGGGCTTCCCAGGGGATCCCCCGAACCAGATGGGCAACATTACGCCTCTGCCAGATCAGATCAGCCGGCTGACCAACAGCGAGCGGCAGCAGCGCCCAGGATCAGGCTTATCTCGCCAACCCTAGGACCCAAGGGACCCCAGGAGCGCTCAGCACAGCGCACAGCGCACAGCGCACAGCGCATACATGTACATCCTCTTGTCAAACCCCCACGTCAGCTTCAAGTGTCCGTTTCGGTGAATACAAGGGTGACCGGCCGTCTGCTCCAGTCTGGTGCTGCCGTGTCGTGCCATGATGCGACGATGATCTCTCCCCTCCATTTCTTACCACACCACGTGGTCAGCTCAGCAGGAAGATGATATTGGCTCTCCCCAGCCAGGCTGCGGTTTCAGGGAAACAGGGTTCCTCCAATTCGTCGAGGGTTGTGAGCCTGACCTTGGTCCGCGACAGGGCGCCGCGGCGAATCAGCTGCCGTGGGCCAGCCCAGCCGACCCGGCAGAGCGCGGTTCCTCCTGCTGTCGCTTGTCACGGTCACCGAGCTCGGCCCTGGGGAAAGGGGGGGCCCGCATCCCTATCACCGAGGCGGCACATGACAAGCTGCGTACGCGGGGCACAGGCCGCCCGTGCGGGGTTGGGTCGTGACGGCTCACAATCGATCGTGGGGATCGCCATCTTGTCTTGAAGCAACACAATGCGCGCTGTTCGTCTTGTCACGTTTTGCGCAGGTGAAGACAGGGTCATTGGTTTGCACGAGCCAACAAGAGCGGCAGCAATACATTGGATTTGTTGAATTTGGTACCCGACGCTTGTCTACATCCTGAACACGCCAAATTTCGTCTCGCCCGCCTTGACCTCGTTCCGACCCGTCATGGCCGCGCGCAGGCCCAGTCCGAGGTACCTCCTCGTGTCCTGTGGCGGGATAATGCCGTCGTCCTGTGTCTGTCAGTGGATGTTCGTTGCATGGTAGAGGTGGAGAGGCAGAAGAGAGAGAGAAGAAGAAAAGAGAAAAAAAAAAAAAGAAAGAGGAACGCACCCATAACCTCGCCGACGAAAACGTGGCATCGCTCTCCTTCTCTATCCTGTCCTTCAGGGCGGGATCGGCCTTGCCGACCGTCTCCATGACCGAGTTGAGCTGCTCGCTGCCCATGACGCCGATGCGGGCGTTGGGCCACATCCACAGGAAGCGGGGCGAGTAGGCGCGGCCGCACATGCCGTAGTTGCCGGCGCCATAGCTGCCGCCCACGACGACGGTGAACTTGGGCACGTCGGCGCAGGCGACGGCGGTGACGAGCTTGGCGCCGTGCTTGGCGATGCCGCCGCGCTCGGCCTCGGAGCCGACCATGAAGCCCGAGATGTTCTGCAGGAAGACGAGGGGGATGCCGCGCTGGGTGCAGAGCTCGACAAAGTGGGCGCCCTTTTGGGACGACTCGGCAAAGAGGATGCCGTCGTTGGCGACGATGCCGACCTTGTAGCCGTGGATCTGGGCGAAGCCCGTGACGAGCGTCGTGCCGTAGTCGCGCTTGAACTCGGCAAACTCGGAGCCGTCGACGATGCGCGCAATGACCTCGCGGATCGGCAGCGGCTTGCGCAGGTTGGTGCTCGCGATGCCGAGGAGCTCGGCGGGCGGGTGGACGGGCTCGGCGTAGGCGGCGGCCGGGGCCGGGGTCGCGGGGCTGCGGGCGGGCCAGTTGAGGTTGCTGATGCTGCGGCGCGCGAGGGTGATGGCGTGGGCGTCGTCGACGGCGAGGTAGTCGGTGACGCCCGAGACGGACGAGTGCAGGCGGCCGCCGCCGAGGTCCTCGGCCGAGATGACCTCGCCGGTGGCGGCCTTGACGAGGGGCGGGCCGGCGAGGAAGATGTGGCCCTGGTTCTCGACGATGATGCTCTCGTCGCTCATGGCGGGCACGTAGGCGCCGCCGGCGGTGCAGGGCCCCATGACGACGGAGATCTGGGGGATGCCCTGGGCGCTCATGCGGGCCTGGTTGTAGAAGATGCGGCCAAAGTGGTCGCGGTCGGGGAAGACGTCGGCCTGGTGGGGCAGGTTGGCGCCGCCGCTGTCGACGAGGTAGATGCACGGCAGCTTGTTCTCCTGGGCGACGGCCTGGGCGCGCAGGTGCTTCTTGACGGTGATGGGGTAGTAGGTGCCGCCCTTGACGGTGCTGTCGTTGGCGACGATGACGCAGGTGACGCCCTCGACGACGCCGACGCCCGTGATGATGCCGGCCGCCGGCACGTCGGCCTCGGGGTACAGCTCGTGGCCGGCGAGGGGCGAGAGCTCGAGAAAGGTGGTGCCGGGGTCGATGAGGGCCGTGACGCGGTCGCGCGGCAGCATCTTGTTGCGCGCGAGGTGCTTCTCGCGGGCCTTGTCGGAGCCGCCGCGGTGGATGCGCGTCGTCAGGGTCTGCATGCGGGCCATGACCTCGGCCATGCCCTGCTCGTTCTCCTTGAACTCATCCGAGGACGGGTCGACGTTGGTCTGGACGAGGGAGATGGCGCTGGCTTGGTGGGGTGGTGTAAACGTCGCGACGCCGCGGGTCTGAGTCTGTGTCTGCGTCTGCGTCTGCGTCCGTGTCGAGGAAACGCTGCTGCTCGTCGATGATCGTGAGCAAGGGCGGAGGCGGGGCTGGAGGGTGTGGAGGCGGGCGGCGGCCGTCGGGGAGGCGCTCGACCGGGTCAATTGGCGAGAGAGCACGAGGAGGTCTCTCGAGGAGCGTGAGGCCGACATGGTGAGTGTGTGTGTGGTGTGACAGAGTGTGGCAGAAGTAAGCAGCCAGAGTCAATTGAAGGACGACGTGCTGCTTTCTGAAGCGGAGAGAGAGAAGGCGGATGCAGTCTGTCTTTGCATTTGATGAATTGGATGAATTGGGATATGCTCAAGGTCCAGCCGAATGCCGCTTGGAGACGGGATAAGGAACACACCCAGAGCATGACGTCCCGTGGAGTTCGGGAAGGGGGGGGGTTCACCCAGCCTCGGCCCGTCGATATCCGTGCTGGGCCGCGCTTTCCTGCTCGGCCTGGCCACGCAACCGCGCCTTCTTCATATTGCTGCTGGCTGGTCGGACCTGCCTGCGATCGACTGCGACTGCGACTGTGACTGCCTCTGTTGACCTGACACAACTTCTTTTTCAATTGCATCTCCATTGCATCTGATTGTATCAATCTCATTGCATCTGGTTGTATCAATCTCATTGCATCTAATTGTATCAATTTCATTGCATCAATCTTCAAGCAAAAACAGTAGTGCCCTGCATCCCAACACAACACCATGTCGTCTGCCAGGTTACTGCGTTCCCTGGCGAAGCCCGCCCGCCAGCTCCGCCCCCGCATCTCTACACCCGCCACCTCCTCCTCCGTCCTTCCCCAGATCCAGACGAGGCATCACTCGCAAAAACACCCCCAGGGCTTCGAGCCCCCGACCGAGGCCGACCTCGCCGAGCTGCGCGAGCGCGTGCAGGACTTCACGCGCCGCGAAATGACCGAGGAGGTCGCCGCCCGCACAGACAAGACCAACGCCTTCCCCAACGACATGTGGCCCAAGCTGGGCGAGGCCGGCTTCCTGGGCATCACGGCCGACGAGCAGGTCGGTGGCCTCGCCATGGGCTACCAGGCCCACTGCGTCGTCATGGAGGAGCTGTCGCGCGCCTCGGGCTCCATCGGCCTCAGCTACGCCGCCCACTCCCAGCTCTGCGTCAACCAGCTGCAGCTCAACGGCAACCCCGAGCAGAAGAAGAAGTACCTGCCCGGCCTCATTGCCGGCACGAGCATCGGCGCCCTCGCCATGTCCGAGTCGGGCGCCGGCAGCGACGTCGTCAGCATGCGCACGACGGCCAAAAAGGTCGACGGCGGCTACCTCATCAACGGCAGCAAGATGTGGATCACAAACGGGCCCGACGCCGACGTCATTGTCGTCTACGCCAAAACCGAGCCCGACGCCGGCTCCAAGGGCATCACCGCCTTCATCGTCGAGACCAAGACGTCCGACGGCTTCAGCTGCCAGCGCAAGCTCGACAAGATGGGCATGCGCGGCAGCAACACGGGCGAGCTCAGCTTTGACGCCGTCTTCGTGCCCGACGACCGCGTCCTCGGCAAACTCAACGGCGGCGTGCGCGTGCTCATGGAGGGCCTCGATCTCGAGCGCCTCGTTCTGTCCGCCGGTCCCCTCGGCATCATGCAGGCCGCCCTCGACGTGACCCTGCCCTTCGCCCACCAGCGCAAGCAGTTCGGACAGCCCATCGCCCACAACCAGCTCGTCCAGGGCAAGCTGGCCGACATGTACACGAAGCTGCAGGCCTCGCGCGCCTACACCTACGCCACGGCCCGCACCGTCGACGAGGCTGGCACCATCCGCACCCAGGACTGCGCCGGCGCCATTCTGTACGCTGCCGAGCGCGCCACCGAGTGCACGCTCGACTGCATCCAGCTGCTCGGTGGCATGGGTTACGTCGAGGAGATGCCGGCGTCGCGGCTGTTGAGAGAGTACGTTTTTTTCATCTTTTTTTTTTTTTTTTTTTTTTGGCTTGTTCCTTTTCAGAACCCTCAACTATTGTCCCCCTTTCAACCTGACTGACTAAACGCGCAGTGCGAAATTGTACGAGATCGGAGCCGGCACATCAGAGATCCGCCGCATGGTCATCGGGCGGGCATTCAACAAGGAGTACGCCCACCTCGGGGCGTAACCATCTGTGACGGCGCGGGCATGGCATGTTGGGGATCCACGAATGGTCGATGAAGGGGAACGAAATGGCGCACAAGGCACGTAGTAGCGACGCAAGGTAGCGTCGAAATGGGATTTTCTTTCTCTCTCTGTCATGGCGGAGTACAGCATCTGCCAATAGCATGCTACAATAGGGGGTCCCCAAAAGACAAATGGCAGACACGGCACCCGGGAATCTGGTCCTTGGGTCGGGTTGGTTGAGTACGGGTTTCCTCAAGTGCGAGCTTACA